CATTTCTTTATTTCTGTTTATTTTTTTTTTTCATTTCAAAGCTGTTTGCTCATTTATTTTCTTATCTTCGTCAACACCACCACCACCACCACCACCACCACCACCACCACCACCACAACCACCGCCAACGAAACAGCGATAATAATTTTGACAACTGATAGTGATAATGTTTATAAATAAACAGTATCAGTAACAAAAAACAATATTTCTTCCTTTGTTTTTTTTTCTGTCTTTTGTTTAATTAAAAAATACCAGAATTTTTTAATTGTGGTGAGTTCTGATGAGAAGATGCAAAAAGTAGCTGAAGATCTGAAAACAATATACTGTTTTATAATGAAATAAAAAAAAAAAAGAAAAGAAATGTACCTAAAATTAAAAAGTTACTTTTTTGGGCTTTTTTTTTTTTTCTTGATATGTCTACCTGTTTTTTAATTATTCGTTTTTTTTCTTTCTTTTTTTTTTGAGATGTCTACGAAATATTAACTTAATTTTGGGTTTAACAAAAAAAGAACAAAAAATAGATTGCGAAATAAATTGTGACTGAATTTGTGTCGTCGCTTTTTGGTAAAGTACAAAAAAAAAAAATTTGTAATTGGGATATACGTTTATGAAAAACTAAGAAAACTGAAGAAAGTTGCAACAAAAAAAAAAAAAGAACTTTTCACTAAAGATTATGGTTTTTTATTTTATTTTTGTGAATAAATTCGGAGCCACTAATTTGGGACATTGCGCAATTTTGCTGCTATGGCGGTGAAAAACAGCATTACCAATCTAAAAATCTGTCTACCTATGTAGTCGATCAGTCTAATTAACCGAAACTAACCAATTAATCAAGCTATCCAATTGCACTTCATACATTTATTTAACAGTTATCGTCTGTCTTGTTACCCAATTGTTCGATTCTTTTTTTTCCATAAATTTTTTAAAGTTTTCTATTTTCAGAAAAAATAAAGCAATCAACAAAAATTTTTTTTTTTCTTTTCTATCGTTACTGTCGTCACAGTCGTTAAAATCTCATCATTTTGGTATTTTGTTTTATTCTTCTTTCTTTTATTTTCTTTTTTTTTTCAATTATTTCGGCTATATACTGGGCAATGACTGCAGCTACACTATATTAGCCAATTCTTAGTATTTTTGATTTTTTTTTTTTTTTGCTTTGTTCTTTCGTCTATTACTTTTCAGCAGCCCCTTGGGTTTTAATATTTTTCCTATTCTGTTGGGACAGAGTGCTGCCTATTGTAAACAATTGCAAAATATTGAATGTCATTGCTTTATAACGTTTTTCAACGTTGTTTTTTTTGTTTTTTAACTTTTTTTTCCTTTTTTTTTTTTT